TGCATTTATCTCATATATATATATATATATAAAATATGAATTAGAGATCAATTTTGAATATATAAAAATGGCTAAAAGTACTAGTATACGTGTATTATTATCAGCTTTGGTATGTCCTTTCGAAGACATTAGCTGAGGAGGCTGCTTGGAAGTTTGCAAAGGAGAACAGGCTTGATTTGGTTACAATAAATCCAGCAATTGTGATTGGTCCTATTCTACAGCCAACCCTTAATTCCACTGTGGAACTCATCTTGAACATCGTCACTGGTAATTAATTACCAGTATATATAAAATTGCAGTAATATTGGGAAATAGTAGCAATTGTTACGTTTATAATATAGTCTGATCTGTGCTGAAAAGTGTTTTATATGTAGGACGAGAACTCCCATCATATGGTGTATTTGTAGATGTTCGAGATGTTGCCCATGCTCATATTCAAGCATTTGAGATTCCTTCAGCTACTGGCAGATATTGCATGGTTGAAAGCACCATAGATGTTACTGACTTGTGGAACATCTTGCATCGACTTTTCCCTATGTTCCACCTCAATGAAAAGTAAGTTGAATTTCAATTTTTTTTTTTTCATAGTCACACTAGATCAAATATCATCTTATGTTTTTATAATCTAACTGATTTGTTGTTTCTATAGATTTGAGGATAAGCCTATTCAAAAAGTGTTGCAAATATCCAAAGAGAAAATTAAGAGCTTAGGCGTCAACTTCATTCCTTTGGAGGTGAGTCTTAGGGACACTGTTGAATGCTTGAAGGAGAAGGGTTTCATTAGCTTTTGAATCTCAGTTATTGACTTTACCCTTTTCCCCCCTTCATCCAGTTTTTATTAGTTTTTCTTAGTTTTTCAATAAAAATCATGTGGCTGTACCAAGAAAATGGATATTATTCTCAAACAAACCAAAGAGAGATTCCCTTGCTATTTCTAAAACATCTGTTTCTATAAGAAATATGCTTGTTCATGTTCTTTAGTATTATATTGTTGGAAAAATATTATAACAAAGAAAGTGTACAACGAATTAACAATGCAAATCAAATAACTACAGATGAATAAACAATAAAATTGGAGTCAATTTATAAGAAAAAAGGGTAGTTAGAATAGTCTAGATTGAAGCACACAATAGCACTATCCTTACAGAGAATACACCCATTGCATTGTTAATAAAAAAAAGGTAACTTGCCATCCTCACCAAATTTCTTTCGTTTTACTTTCGGTTATTGAAGCCCATATCTTAGCCCAATCCCAATGCCTAGTGGATGTGGCTTCTACACACTACATAAGAATATCAGGGCGGCCCATAGTATACGCACTTTAAAAAAAAGGTTTAAATACCATTTTGGTTCCTTAACTTTTCACTTTGATTCCAAAATTATCTCTCAACTTTAAAAAATACTAAAATTATCTTTAAACTTTTATTTTTTAACTAAAACAGTCCTTCTATCAGTTAAACGGATAAATAACACGCTAAATTACCACAATATCAATCCTTATATATTTTTTTAAATGACGTGTATATTAAAATAATTTTTTATCTATTTAGCATTTTTATCATTATTTTACAATTTTTCAAAAAAAAAAAAATCATCTTCTTCCTCCTTTCATCTCTCTCAATCCTTCAACAGTTGCTTTCTCATTTCTCTATCAACCCTTGCTCCTTCCTTTCCTTACTCTTTTTTTTTT